CTTTTACCTCTGTCGATGAGGTACGCTTCTCTACCTTTTTGTACACTGTCTCTATTAGATTTAATGAGCTCTAGTGGGATAAGTGTGACGTCGTTAGCAGGAAGATCGATCATTAGTAAGAAAGTGTCCTGAGTCTGTGGTGGGTTTAGAGGTAATAGATGGGTTTTCAACTGGTCTGCGGTGTTCATCGTTGAAGCGGTCTTTGAGTCGTCGTGTATTGTTTGGAGCAGTGGTTGCCGTGTATCACGTAAATGACGTTTTTGGAGTTACAGTCAATGTGATTAGTGATAGGTCTGGTTTCGCCTGTAGCGTGGAATGTGTATGACGTTTGTCGTTCAGATATGTTTTTACAAGTGCTACGGTTTTTTCCGCATGGGTATCAGCCCCGGGGCTGGTTGAGTTGTGTGAAATTTCGAAGTTTGGCCCTAACTACAAAATCACTGAGGTTACTACTACGTCTATAAGCTACAATGGGTGCAGCTTTAAAGACGTTATAGCAACGGGGGATGAAATAAGGATTTGAAAGTGTTTGCGAATAATGAAAGAGATGAAACGAAGGGTTGGGTTGTAGGTGATAACAAAGGGAACACTTTCTTGTTTGTCCAGTGTACAAGTGTCATGGGGCGTAAGTGCTTCTGTCCGTGTGATATTGTTAACTTGCTGTATTTCCCGTTGAAGGAAATAGAGGTTATAAACACATTTGTTAAGATAGTAAATAATTTCATTGGTACGTAGTGTGAAGGTCTCGTTGGTTTAACAAATGTGGCGGAGTCTAAGAGCTAGACTGAAAGAAATAGCACGTTCAGGTGTGTATGGGATGACATGACGAATGTAGTAAGTATTCGTTTTTGTCTGTAGGTTTGGTGTAAAGGTTAGTGACGATTGTGCCATTGTCAAGTGAGACGTTGACATCGAGAAAGGGTATGGATGTGAAGGAATAGTCGTATGTGAATTTTATGGTGGGGTGAATGTAATTGAGAAGGGAAGTATCATGTCCATATCATGAAGATGTCGTCTATATAACGCTACCATATGAAGGGCTGGAGAGGGGCACGTGATAAGGCATCCGTGTCGAATTTGGCGAGGAAAAGGTTGGCGTATGACGGAGCTATCACTGTCCCCATAGCGGTACCATGTGTCTATAAGTAATGTTTGTCATTGCAAGAGAAGTTGTTCATATTGAGAATCATGCGTATCAGGTCACAAAGTGTTTAACCAGCCAGGGCTAAAAGCGAAGCTCTCGATAATATATATAATTCGTTCAAACAAAATATAAAATCGTGTAATGCTAAGGCAACGAGAACGGCGAAAAAACGATAGGTCTAATTAGCAAAAAAAGCAACCTTGCACGTGCAGCACACTTTTTTGTACATTTCTTTGCCGTTGTCGTGCACGACTGCAAGAAAACTCCTAAGTTACACGTTTTATCGAGGAAATGCCGTACTTGTTCTCGTTCACTATTTTTCACTACCGCTCTTTTTCACCTTGCATTGGTGGCCGCTAGCATTTCTCATTTTGTCACCTCCGCTACAAAATTCTAGGGAAAAAATGTCTTTTTTATCTCTCACTCTACAGCTCTGACCCCCTTTTTCTCGTAGAGTTTCGCTGGCCTGCCGCCCACTTTCTTTTTTTCTCTGTCTTTCTCTTGTTCTATATTCCAAATTTGTGGACAAGATAATTACTCTAAGCTTAAAGCTCTAAGCACCCCTTCTGCCCACCCCTTGACTCCGCCTTGTTTTGCATGAATTTTGCAATGTTAGTTTGTTTCGATAAAGTTTTTCAAAGGCCATACCGATATTTTTCAATCGTCTTAAAAGTGCTTTTTCCTTGTCCGATCGCTATAAAATTTACACGAGTAATTGGCTATGGATTGAAATTCTGAATGAAGTGGGTAGGCAGAAGGGGGCGCGGCAATAACCCCTTTCTCTTTGAATTCTGTATTATTCTTGTAGAATTCTCAGAAAAATAAAATGTATCTATATAGCTCATGCGGCAAGTGGGCCGTAAAAAGAGAAAACTAAGCATAATTTCATTTTAGTTTAATGAGAGGAATCACGACAAAGTTTCACAAGACTGAAATGCTATAATTAGAGATGTTAAAGTGAAAGTATTAGTCTTTGTGTTCGGGAATTGCATGGTTGACAAACATTCGATAAGCTAGAGTTTTCACTTGTCGATAGCTAGTTCGGTTGATTCGAATCCTTCTGTATCTTTAAGAACTTTTTGGGAGTCCCATTACCTTTCGGAAGATAGTCTTTCTTCATATCTCACATCTATTGCATATACTATATAAAAGAGCACCACTCCGGAGCTCACGCGAACCTAGCGAATCTCCGTTCTCTTTGTATTTATTAATCAAAAAGTTGAGCTGCACCTGGAGGAGTTTCTGAACTTCATTTTAAAGAAGGCGGTACCAAGGATCCTCTTGTATTTGTTTCTCACAAGTTTTGCCGGATGCTGACGATGTAGTTTTGAGTTTGCCGCTAAAACTGCTACTGAGTTAGAAGCAAATTGTCTTAACCCTGATATCAACCATACTTCTTCGTGGATGCAAGAAAACAAGAACGAGAAGTCCAAAGACTACTGCAAAGCTGATTTAAAACAACGTGTATTAAGAAAACAAGCTATTTCTGAAAATGAGCAAGACGGAATATGTTATTTATAGTGCATACTAACGGCTCAAGAGGTAAGATAATATAAGCTTATCCTACAACGGATCTTCTGTGACTGCACCCGACTCTTTTAAATATGTTGGCGTCGTGATTGATCAGCACTTGAACTTTACCAACAACATTGCGCACGTAGTCAACAACGTTTTATTCAAGAAAATTGGGTGTTCTTAGGCCTTTGAGAATCTCTATTCCCATGGTTGCAGCTGAACGCCTCGACAAGAAGATGATTTCACCCATTTTTGATTACTGTGAGGTGGCCTGGCACGGGTGTGGAAAAGTTAACCCTGATGCTCTCGAGAGTTTACAGCATAGAGCCGCGAAGTTAATTTTTGGAAATTCTGGTCTCGATACTACACTGGAACTGAATGAAACCTTCGGTTTAGTGCCTTGGTTAATAGGCGTAACTCACATTGTTTTGTTAACAAGAAAAATGCCTTCACGGTTCAGTTCCACCCTATTTGAATAACTATTTTAATTTAAATGCTTCTGTACACTCCGTAACATCTAGACGCTACAATGATATTCATATACCGAAAGTGAAGCAAGCGGTCGCAAAAAGATCGTTTTATTTTACAGGTGCGACGGAAAGTTACAGCCCAACTACTTTTATCAAACCAAAGAAATCCTTCCTTGACTTCTCACTCCTGCAAGGGAAACTAAAGATCTTTTTAATTAATTATTTAATGAATTTTTTAATCTGTTTTAACTGCATATATTTTTTATCTATATATATCAGCCGTGCGCAGTTTTCTTAGTCTTTTTGTGCAATCTCTTTTGTCTCTTGTTTAGAATAATCCGTTTCGTGAGAGACTTAACTTTCTCGGGTCGCTTTCTTCACTATCATAGAGTCGATACTCCCATTAGCTTGTTGAAGGTATTCATCATATCCGACAATTTATGTTGTACGAGTTGTGGATAAAACATAGAGTGCTTTGATCGGGAGAGAACGCCAGTTTAGACGCGAGAAAGGGTTGAGGAGTAATTTTGATGAGCGACTTTTAAAATGTAACTTCCGTGTATTTAATAAGCGGAATAAGCAACGTTAAAGTTATACGGCACACTTAATTTGTCGAAGCTAATGCCCCCCTTTTTTGTGCTACCGGAAGGTGGTTTTTGGCTTTAATAACATAACCCACTCAATACGAGGGGTACAGAATGGTAGTTTCGAGACCTGGCGAGACCTCGGTTTCAGAATTCAAGACCCACGTTTTTTTCCAGGGACCATTCTAACTGCAATCGACTCTAAGGAAATGAGGAGAGCATAACAAAACAAATATGTGACATAGAGTAATTCGGATGCACTCATTTCAGAAAAAAAAACTAGACTAATGGCTTCACGAAACCGCTATTTTCTTGTAACTCAGCAGCGTCAATTGCTAGAACCGACCCTTGAGACCAAATACGGCTTCATTCAAGGCAAAAAATTTAGATGTTGCTTCAGCACAAATTGAAACCGAAATGTCCACAAAACGATGAATCTCAAATAGGCTGGAACTGAAACACATGAAATTTCTTACAAACATTTTGGGGATTTTAAGAGCGCCAGATACTCGCGAGGAAAACTTTTAGATCAAATTAAACATTTTCCAGTTTGATAACCGATGTGACAATGGGCGGAAGAGCCATAATAACAAATGATCCACCCGTTTTACGCGGATCGGGCGCTAATATTTCGCGTGCATTTCACTTTTGCGTCATGCCCACCCGATCTTAGAGCCTTTAAGAGAAAAGCAGAGGCGGACAGCAAGCAGAAAAAAATCATGTCCATTCAATAACATGATAACAGAATGGGTAGCAAATTTCCCAATGGTCACTTGGGAGTAAAAGCCCTTTGTTTTAAGAAATATGATCAGCTTCCGATTTTAGCGTCACTCAGTGAATCATCGCACATCTAATATCTGAGACGCTTCTACTACGCCTACTACTTTACGAGAGTAAACGATTGCGCTGAACGATGAGCTTCTCTCTACCAGGAACTGACCTATTCGATCTTATCGGTTATAGCGAGGAACTTCCCCAAGAGTATCTTTGTAATGTGTGGTAAGTAATTGACAATTTAGTTACTTTTGAAATCACATTGTAATCATTTCGCACGCATTGCAGAGCTCTGTCCTTGGTATCCATTTGGAATTTAACTTTTGTGATGCGAGAGAATTTTTTCGTTCGCAATGATATTAGATGATCGCAGCATTCTAAAGTGTATGTTAATTCTGCTTTGTTAGCAAGAAGCCTCTACTCGACGCACAAATAGCCACGCCATGTGGTCACACGTTTTGCGGCGAATGCGTTTACCGATTCCAGCAAACATCCCGTGCCATTCAGTGTGCGATGTGCCGCCAAGTGGTGATCGCCTTTTGCAAAAATATTTTTGCAAGCAATCTAATCACTGCAATTGATGGTGAATGCCTAGCCTGCAAGGGAAGGATCAAACTGGACGCTGCCAAAGACCATCTAGGGCGATGTTCAGAAGTTGAAGTGGTGTGCCTTCTCTGCAGTGAAAAACTGCAGAGAAAACACCAAGATGGCCACGATTGCCCCATGCGGGAAATAATCTGCAACTGTGGCGAAAAGTTCAACAAAAAAGACGAGGAACACCACCAGCATCTTTGCAGTTTTAAACAGATACAATGCCCATTCGATTGCGGCGAATTGGTAGAAAGGTACGTTAAAAAGTGTATGTGACAGAAATTTTTTTGTTTGCTCTATAGAATCTGTACAGTGTATTGATAAGGAAAGCAAAAATAATATTTCGATAGCGATTTTTCTTCATCGTGTTTTAACCTACCAAAAGAGTGAAATTTCAATTCCGGTGGGCTACAAAACCGCGCGGGTGAGAATAGAAGACTAAGATTTATTGTTATGTCTTTTCAGGACATTCTGTACAGATTCTATCAAGCAAATACAATAGTTTATGTAATATATACACCTCTGGGCTAGTATGCCGTCAGTTTGTCGACATTGGAGTTTTGGCGAGAAAAGATCGTTTCAACTGAAAAATGTCGACGATAGACGAAATTGGAATTAGCAGAGGAGGGCTCTAACCTGGGACTAGGCTCTGCAGGTTTGCAGGGGGCGGGGGGGAGTCAAGAAAGGGGTCAAACAGGAAAAAGAATTTAGGCGAGCGAATCGAGTTGAGCGGTGAATTGGGGAAGAGAGAAGGGCGGCGGAGCCTCAGCCACCCTTTCCCAGGCCTGACCGCTGGAGACCCTCATCTCTCGGCTTCCTTTGCGCTCCTATTTTTTTCTTTTTTTTTGGTTATCAAAGCTAACATTTAATTTTCCATTTTTCCCCCAATGCGGAGCCTGGTCCCAGCCTAAGACAGCTCATAGAGCCATCATTAAAACGGTTTTATATAACATATGCAGAAGAGAAAGGAAAACAGGTTCACAGCTTCTTGGGGCGGCTATATAAAATTAATAACAAAAGAAGAGTTTGAGAACGCTTGTGTACTAGTGAGTAATGGAGTAATCCTCATTATTAATTGATCTCCCAAGGTATCTTCTCCCATCTCATACACTACAATGCCCCGCCAAAGTGCAGAAATGCACCGTCAAGGGATGTGGAGAAACGGTCAGGAGGAAGGACAGGAAAAAGCACGAGGATGAAAATATGTCCCGCCACTACAGCCTCCTTAAAGAGGAAAACGAACGCATTCTTTGGAGTGCCAGCAAAATGGTGAGTTTGCCCGAAATGCCATGAAGAATTTTATTGTTAGGAGACATTTCAAGGAAACCTCTTAACAGAGTCTCTGGAGTGAAATTATAGTATCTGTAACCCGAATTGTTTTGTTACAATTAGTACAAACTTAAAAACAAGAAGCTGAATAAATAACCTCATTACATAGTCATAGAACCATTGCGATCGGCGCTGTAACATGTATTGAATGCTTGGAAAGAAATTATAGCATAAGTTGTCAGACAGGCAGACGGATGCGGTCATTAAGTCAAACAACCTGAAATTCGCGAAATACGAAATAAACATTGCTAAGTACCCAAACTAAGCGTGAAAAAAGATAGCCCTTACACAACAACTGAAAGTCGCTGCTAACAAGACAATTGACTTTACTCGTTCGTGGACTGGTTTCTTCAGACTTTCCAACGGGAAATTTTGAGAAAAAGACGTAAAAACAACTTACAACAAAGCTTGAATAAAGCTTTCTGAAGCCATTTTAAGTATTTTGAGTGATTGCTGGGAAAAATTTATCTGTTCCTCACTCCCCGCGCAGAAAAAAAAAAAGAAATTTGTTTGTAAGAAACGTAAACTTGCTTTTTGCGAAAATTTAAAACGTTGGGGGAACGTTACGTCCAAAATTTTGTTTCGAGGAACACTCGCGTCATTCTCATTTCTGAAGCTATGATTAAAACGAAAACGGATTACGACTCTTTTTTCGCATTTGCCTATGGATCACAATGAAGTTCTTCGTTGCCAGATTGTTGCAAAAAGAAAAAAAAGGTTCGCTGTTTTAGCCGACAGTGTACGTAGAGTTGCAATGCACCTTGGAAACACCTCGAGTTCCCCTTATGTTTTTTCGTGCTTTCATCTAAAAACAAGCATAACAATTGTCCTGCTGATATGGTATTTCATCCAAGAAAGATGTTGTTAACGCCTCCTGTGGTACTTTTTTTCACAGAAGTGGCTTCATGTTAAGACAGGAAGAACAGGTGAGGCGGGAGCATACACATGGAGTATCCCGAACTGCTACGGCGACATATGTTCGCCAAGCTTTGAGATGTGGGGCCGTAAGTGGCGACTGTTCTGCATAAGACGAGGAGGCATCATCCACTACGGCCTTGAAAATGAAGAGGGAGACAGGCCTATCCACTTGTCAGTGAGGTACGTTTGCATGCAGCAAATTCTTAAAGGGACACACCGTCCTGTCCGAAATTTATATTATACTCTGTAAACCTTAAGTGGCGCAGTGGGGGCTAAGGGGATAAAGGATGGGAGTGGGACGTCTGTGTTGCGACCTTTTCAGCTAACTCGTTTTTCTCTCTTTGCAGTTTCATGGTCGAGGGTAAAGAAGTGAGGGTAAAGAAGTATATAACATACCCCTTTTGGAGTTTAAGAAGGGACAGATGACCGAGCAAACTAAGACGGGCAGTATGCCTAAAGCCATAACGGTCAATATGGCATTGTTAGGGCCGAGCTTTACTAAAGATTCATAATTTCTCTTTCTAAATCTATATAGTGAAATCGATTTAAGACCTTGTTAAATGAAGCTTAAATCGAACAGGGGGCGCGGTCCTTCACTTGATATTTGGATTTCTCTTTATTCACGTCTAGTCACTCCTGGTAGATGATAGATGATAATTGCTTTTGGGAAATGTACATAATAACCTAAATATACTTGAGTGCATCCGTCCTCTCTCTGTATTCTATAAAAATGAAATACCGTAAATCCTCTTCTAGCCACCCCATCTTTAAGAACACCCCCTTTTCCCCCAATTATTGTTCACTAATAAATGTTAATTTATTGGGATCAATCAACCACAAATGTAAAACTTGGAAGTTCGGTTTGATTCGGATTGTCGGCTACATGACCTCCAACTTTCTTTTACTTGACTTTTTCTACTTTGCGGTCTAGTCCCTTTGGAGAATATATACCATCTTGTTATCTAAATTAAATAATCCCCCCACTCCCGTCTCTATTAAGCCCCTCCTCAAGTGAGCCTCCTCAAGGGATTTACGGTATTAACCTAACTGTTTGGCGTTTTGAAAAGGTTTTGCTTGGTTTTGACCCCCAAGGATTGGAACTTCGCCTGGGCGCAAACTGGGTGGATATACTTTTCTTATTTTGGCCGTCTGGCTTCCAGAAATGTGTGGAAGATCAAAGTTTTGCGTTCTAGTGTTGCCTAAAATATGCAAGTGAAGAACAAAATAAGAAGAAATGTACATTTCAGGCACATTGCTCGCTGGGCGCAATTATTAGACAACGGTAGTGCGATCTCGTTCTTTGAACTTCTTTGTGACAATTAATTCAAACCAGTTTCTGCCAAAAAAAGGCGGATATTACTAGGGGTGAAATCATAGTGAACGAGATAGGAAAAGACAGTCCTTCCTATTCGTGTAACGTCAAGAATCAAACTGTGAATTTATTTGATTTTTCGGTTATTATTTATTATTAGCAGATTTCAATAGTTATAACAGATTTTGCCTTTGGTTTTCATCTGTATTGTGCACTGAGTGTAAAAGTGCCAATTTAAAAGTCTTCTATACCTTTTAGACTTTTAAATAGAGATAAGTTTAGTTTTCGTCCACATGTATTTTTCGGAGTGGTAAAAGTGAGTGTTCCGAAAGAAGTACTTTGAGACTAATAAAACAGAGTCATAATTAGACGTCACAATGTCAAGGGGACGTAATTTTTCAAAACGTCTTATTACAACGATGAATATAATTATATTTAAAAATTAATTTACGACCCAGTCTTAATTATCATATGGACTCCATAAATCAACTTATTTAAATAGACTTACAATCGATCAATTTGACTGAATATCGGCATTAGCGAAATCGATTTAACCATAAATATACTAAGCCTTAAATCAAAACTAAATTCAACCAAATTCAACGAAATCTTAAATCGATTTAACCTTAATTTAACTAAATAAGTCTTAAATAGATTTAAGCTTAAATTGATTATTTAACGACTAAGTCTTAAATCGATTTAACTGTAAATAAGTCTTAAAAGTCTCTAAGTCTTAAAACGATTTAAGAAATAAACGACTAAGTCTTAAAAAGATTTAAGCTTATATCGATTTAAGCTTATATAGATTTAACGACTAAGTCTTAAAAAGATTAAGCTTAAATCGATTTAAGAAATAAACGACTAAGTCTTAAAACGATTTAAGCTTATATTGATTTAAGCTTAAATAGATTTAACGACTAACTCTTACAACGATTTAAACTTAAATCGATTTAAGCTTAAATAGATTTAACGACTAAGCTTAAATCGATTTAAGAAAAAATGGATTTAACGACTAAGTCTTAAAACGATTTAAAGCTTAAATCGATTTAAGAAATATACTAAGTCTTAAATCGATTTAAGCTTATATCGATTTAAGCTTAAATCGATTTAAGAAATAGACTAAGTCTTAAATCGATTTAAAGGTTAAATCGATATAAGCTTAAATCGATTTAAGAAATATACTAAATCTTAAATCGATTTAAGCTTATATCGATTTAAGAAATAGACTAAGTCTTAAATCGATTTAAGCTTATATCGATTTAAGCTTAATAAACAGATTTAAAGACTAAGTCTTAGAACGATTTAAAGCTAAAGTTATGCATTTTTATTAAAAAATTATATAATGCTGTTTGTTTTCATTATGCCAGCCGCTGATAAATATTTTTACCCTGTTAAATAAATTTACGTAGTTACGTATTTTTATTTATTAAATTTATATAACACCCTATGGCCAGCTGCTGATAATGATCCAAAAATACTTACACTAATTCTGCCTTTCATGAACTTAAGTCATAAAAATGTATTAGGAATGATATAGATACAGATTAAAACATCCACAATATGGTGATAAGTTAAGATGCAAAAATTTTTTAAAACGTAGGTTGCTGTCCAAAACCCTCAGAGATCTTGAAATAGAGTTCCAATCCTTAATAGAACAAACTGTGAAAGAACGACCACCCTCCGTGGCATAATATATCTAGGACAAAGCAAACTTAAATTACACTATCTTGTATTCCTCATATATAAGCTAGAATTGGTAACTAGAAGTTCGATTTCATTCATATAATTAGGAGTGTTTCCTTTAAGTTTCTTGTGAATGAGTGCGCATCGATTTTTTTTTATGTGAGAATCACTATAAAAAAAATCCAATTAAGTGTATTAAACAGGTCCATGGATCTTGAGTTAAAAGGTGCATTCAGGATCACTCTCGCTGCCCTCTTTTGAAGTCTGAGAATGTTGTCCAAATTTGCCTTGTTCGTAGATGACCACACACTCTATCCATAAAGGAAAGATAGTTTAAGTACAGTATCATATACTAGAGCTCCTTATGTGATCTTTTTAACTATGCATTAGTGTGCTTGAGAAGTCCAATTTTCTTTGATAACGATTTACATAGAGCATCTGATTGAGCGTCGAAGTGAAAATCTTGGTTTATATGAATACCGGGAAGCTTATGGCTTTTAACCTGTTAAATAATAGCCCCATTCAAAGAGAGATTCAGATTTGCTTCAGTACTGTCCAAACCTTTCCGTAATCGCTTTCCTACCGCCAACATAGATTTTGTTTTGGTTTGGCTGATGACTATTTTATTATGAGCGCGCGCTTTCCTCGGATTTTCTCCGAAAAGGAGCAGAAACAAAAGCGCACAATTTGAACGGTCTCAAATGAGCTTGAGCTGCTGGCACGAGATAGGCAGTCCTCTATACAGGCCAGGAAAAAACCTACGCAATTTTTTAACAATTTGACACAAGGAATTTGATCACAGAAAATTCTAAAAGAACTGAAATTGGGATTTAAAGTGTTTTTCCTTCACGATTATACTTTTGATAAAAATAAGAAGTAAAAAAATACTATTTATTTCTGAATAAAAACATCCCTACAATGTCGGACCATGTAGACAGCCATGTCCTTCCGCCCTGTTCTTTTCTCAGAGCCACGCACAGCGAGCGAAAGGGTATGCAAATTAATGTCTCAAAAGAAAAATAAGAGACTGCTGGCAGTCTACGGACCATGTCAGTTGTCGTTTAATATTTTTCCTGTCGGTAGTCGTAATTTTTTTCTCATTTTGTGGGTAGTCAGTTATATTTTTCGCCGTTTGTCGCTAGTCAGTTAATCCCATTCAGACCGCCCGGAAATTGTGGTCACTTTCATTCAGTTTAGGGTAGCTTGAATTACTCTTTTTTGGGCGATTTACTGGAGTCCTACAGCGTTCGGCAAACACCTCAAAAGTCGAGAGGATCCCTTGCTGCCAAGTGCAGTATGTGGGAGAAAACGTATGTCCGAACTTTTCGGGGTTTATTTACTTCACGTGAAATCTCACGCTCAGAAGGTGAATTTTTCTCGGTCAATGAACTTCGAACAGCATCCTTATTGGGGTGTAAATATCACCTTTGTTTGCAAACGGTTGTTTTCTTGGAAGCTTGAATATATTTTCGGGGAAATCTATTGCTAACATCAAGTTATTTCTTTGGGTAATGAAATGGCGACTCGTAGTTCGTGTATAAAATTACAGTATGTGGAAGAGAACGGCTGTCCGAACTTTCGGGGTTTGTTTACAACAAAGCTCATTAAAAGTCACGTGAAGCTACACGTGAAATCTGACGCTCAGACTGAGGTTCTCGGTACTCAATGAACTTCGACCAGTATGCTTATTTGGGTGTAAATATCAGCCTTGTTTGCAAACGGTTGGAAGCTTGATTTGGGGAGACGAACACCCGCTCAATAAAGACACCTTATCAAGGCTGTGTTCTAGCAGAGCCCGGTGGTCCCTGGCGCCTAACTTGTGCTCTTGTGTGAATAGAAAATCTCACAGTTTTTTTCATACAAATCATATGCTGGGCAGCCTAGATTTTACAGATTCAGAGAACTGGACTCCTTTCAATGTTCCTTAGAGCACAGCCTTGTTGATCATTACAGCCAGCTTGCTCTGTTCCCGGGAAAAAAAGCCCTTAAATTTTCTCTAAATTAAAATGGACAATTTCTACAGTCCCCTCAATGTCCGTATAACAGGGTTTAACTGTAAATATAATGAGACCCATGAAACCCTGCATATTTGACTTGGGAAAAATTGGGGGGAGGGAGGGGCGTTACAAGAAAGCAAAGGGGTCTCCCGCTAAGTTACCCCAGCACCGATTACAGGAGATTTGTAAACATGTATAAATTTCACATTTTGAGGAGTTTTTATAATACAGAAAAATATGTAATAACATGTGCTTGCCCATACTGACACAAGCATTAAACAAATAGTGGCTAAATAGCTTTTAAAATCTATTGACTGCATCAGGCTTTGTAATTACAAATATGCCATTTTCAGTTTCAATCCTGCTATAAGATATTCTATGACTTATACCAATAGGAAATATATAATGCTAATTTGCAGTATTGCTTGAATAAA